CCCCCGCCGCGGACCGCGAGCGCGGCCGCCGACAGGCGGGGCAGCTGCGCGTCGCGCAGCAGCGACAGCTGCATGCGCGCCTCCGCCAGGGCGCGCCGCAGCTGGCGGCGGCAGAGGGCGACGCCGCAGCGCTGCGCGAGCGCGGAGCAGCGCACCAGCGGGAGGGCGATCTGGTCGTACGCACCTGCCAGCCCCCGCGCCGCCAGCAGCGACCGCAGCGGCGCGTGCAGCGCCCGCGCAAGCAGCGCCGCGCGCGCGGCGTGCCGCGCCGGCCCCGCCGGCCGCAGCGGCAGCTGCAGGCGCCAGGCCGGCAGCACGGCTTTCTGCGCCGCCGCCAGGCGCCGCTCGGACAGTCTGTCCTCGTCGCCGCCTTCTGCTCCCGCTGCAGCGGCCGCCACCGGGTGCCCCGCCGCCCCGCCCGCCACGCTCCCATGCTGCGCCTCTTCGTCTGCCCCGGCCCCTGGCTGCCACAGCTGGAACGCCGCCAGAGGATCGTGCACCTGCAGCCTGCAGGCTACGCCCGCTGCTTCCAGCGCGGCCACCTGGGTCGCCGCGCCGGCGCACAGGCCCGTCCGCATCGCGTCGCCAAACACTGCGCGCATCGCCGCCCACAGCTGCCGTGCGTACCCGTTTCCTGCCGCCGCCGCTGCCGCCGCTGACATTGTGAATGCGGCGATACTGCCTGCGCCCACCGGTGCCGTCACGTCATCCTCTGTCTCCCCGGCTTCCGTTGCCGACCCCGTCTCAGCCCCTTCCGCTGCAGCCGTCGCCGCTGCCGCGTGGGGCCTGACCGGGCCCGTTGCCGCGGCGTCAGTCAAAGCCTCGCCTCCGCCACCTTGCGTGGCAGCTTTGAGCGGCGGCTCAGGCGGCACGGTCAGCAGCAGCACCTCCCTGTCGGTCCAGCACAGCGCCAGCTGCGACGCCGTGCGCGGCTTCAGCCAAGGGGCACGCACGCCCTCACCACCGCCCCCGCCCGGGCCGGCGGCGGGTGCTGCTGAATGCTGCTGCTGCTGCTCTTGCCCTGGAATCCTGGCGGGCGCGGCCGTCAGAGCAAGCATCTCCCCATCTTCCGCGTCTCCCTCCCCGCTGCCGACGCCGCCCGTTGCCGTACCCGCGGCCGCCGCGCCCGCCGCCGCTGCCGCCAGCTCGCCGCTGCCTCCCGCGCCTGGCAGCAGTTGTGGGTCGCCCAGCGCGAGCGCCCAAGAGAAGGTTGGCTGCCTGCGCCAGAGCTCGAGTGCGCGTTGGACAAGCAAAGGGTCGCTGCCTGCGTCCAGCGCGCACACCACCGCCTGACCCGCAAGCGCGGCCGCAGCCGCCTTCTCGCCGCCGCCGCCGCTGCCGCCGCCCGGCGTGCCGCCGAGAATCGCACTGGGCCCCTCCCCATCGGCGGCGCCGTCGGGCTCGGCGCCGGCGGGGCCGGCGGCCGCCTCCCAC